TATACTCACAAAATTATGTAGAATTTCAAAGTAAACTATTTTATACATTTCAAAAGATTTATAAGAATTTAAAGGAATGCTTGCCCACAGATATATTCAAAAACTGCTCGGCAATCAGATTGGTTTTTTATATACGCGCGGAAATTTTCTTTCATCGAACCCCCCCTCCCCCCAAAGCCAAATCCTGGCTACGCCACTGTAGGGAGTGGTAAATATTTTTCACATCTCTTTAAAACTCGGAGCTATGAATATAAAAATGATGCCGTCAATGCGCATAAACTCCTTTAAATATACATACATAATCCACAGGCAAATTTATGAGTTAGCCAAATATGTGAGGAGTTTATCCTGAAGAGAATGTAAATAACGCTAGCGCTCTGAGTTTTTGAAATTGGAGCGCTCTCAAATAATGTAACTCCTCACAGCGAGAGCGTATTTTAATGGCTTTACGAACTCTGTTTTAGGAAGGTCAGTGACTTTTACTTGTAAAAACTCACATATTCCATCGCTAGATCTAATTTTTAATTTTTTTTTGCCGAGCTTTGAGAATACATATAGTAGAAATGTAGGGGGTCCACCGAAACCAGTAAAATTCCCAAAGTTGGTCTACGAGAAAAAAAGTTTGGGAACCTCTGGTCTGGATACAAAACTACATTATCTACGATTCTATTTTTCGAGCAGATGGGCCAATTTTTTCTTCAGGGTACATACATACATAAATATGTACATATAGATTTTTGTAATAAGTTGATTACTCAAATCGATTTTGGGAGTTTCTGGACAGGAAATTCAGATTGGCGGTATTTATTTTACGACTCGCGCTTTTTCTATTCGAAAATCTTTCCACCCTTGTTACCAACAGCAATTACATAAATTTCAGAGTTCTATTATTACCAGGGAACGGATTTTTAGGACCTAAAAACCTATAAAAAAGGCAAAATAAAGTAACGAAATAGGCTGGAATAGGCAAAATAAAATAGCGAAAACGGCAGGAAAAGGCACTAGGTATTGCAAAAAAGGCAAAACAAAATAGCGAAAAAGGCAGGAAAAGGCAAAAAAAAGGTATTGCCAAAAAAGCAAAATAAGGCACTAAAAAAAGACAGAAAATACGAAGAACAATCAAAAAATATATTTATTTTAGAAGTTTCTATATTACAAGTAAAAAGAGAAAACTATGAACTAGTTTCTTTATATGAAAAATTTGTACTTTGACTCTTTGACTATTTTATCCTTTCGAGTTTCTAAGTAACATTGAACTACAAGATGCACTTTGAAGTTTTCTGGCAGCATTTTCATTCGATTTTCGCGAAGAAAAGCCTTGAATATACTAAATGTGCGCTCGACGTAAGTTGATACAAGTGGAGCCCAATTTAAATATGGAGCGTTTGAAACGTTCATATTATCAGGAATAAGGGCGTTTTCCTCGCCCTTTACAATTTTATACACACCCCTTATTGTCTTCAAGCCTACGTTAGCTGAGAAAACGGCTTTGAATTTTTCCAACACCAATTTGGCAAGAGGTCCCTGCGCTTCTATAAGCCGCATGGGCATGTGTATATTTTTTAATCTTAAAAAAAAATTGTAAATGCTATAATCACTTTTTTAAAGGTAGAATATGCAGAAAAAGGCAAATATCTTAAAAAAGGCAAAAAAAGCAAATATCTTAAAAAAAGCAAAAAAAGGCAACATCAAATGTGTATACATGGAATCAGGGAAAGCTAAATCGTGGACATTTTTAATCGAATATACTCTACCTCTTTAGCAGAAAAAAAGGCAATTTCCATAAAATCCGTTCCCTGATTATTACTCTCGCTGTACTTTTACGTAGAAATAAAAAATCAACAAACATCTACATACATATGTGCTGTGCGCTGATTAAAGGTTGAGTCTTTACTTTAATACATCAACACTTCACAATAAAATGTAGATGTAATACATATGTAGAACCAAATGCCACAAAAACTCGCAAAGTAAGTCCCGTTCCAGACACGTCAAGTCTTGCTTTCAAGTCTGCTCGTTCTTTGGCGAACGATGTGAGAAGAGAGGGAAAGGGTACAGATACCTACGTACCGTGAAGTCGTTTCAGGTTTTTTTGTCTCTTTTGATATTTTCCTTGCTTCCGGTTTAAAAAACGAATGACTTGAATTCAATAATAGTTTACGCGTATAGAGCAATTAGATAACACAGAAGAGAATGTGACAATTGCTTGATGGCTTGAAGTATCTGGAAGGGGGCTAAAATGTGGAATTACTAGGGACAGGAATTTCGATTCGATATTAATACATTAGCTATAAAGTTAACCCTTGTATCGTATCCAAAGTGAAATAAACATTACAAAGTTAACGTGATTAATAACACGGTGTTACAAAAAAAAACTTTGCATGTACCTTTTATGTCATGTAGTTGGGGTGGTAGAATAGGTCTAAAGAATAATTTTGGCAGAACTTCAAATGCACTCCAAAATCTTAAGTTAAGATCAAAAAACTGGGAATCTGGATGTTGGGTCGGTCAAAACACCGGTCATAAATTGGACGGGTTATAGCCCGAACACAATGAAAACGACAAGCTACAAACCTTAGCTGTCAAATTATTTTAACACGTACTCTCATGTAGATAATTATTTTGGCGACGACCGGGCTACGCGACGGCTGTGGTTGTGGCCAGATTAGATCTATTTCTATTTTTCTGGCGACAGATAAGGTTCTTCCTCTTCTTTTATGTCAAACTCATACAAATTCATGATGTCGCTGCCGCGTTCAAAGAAATCATGTCGCCATCGACAAAGCGCTTAGATAATAAAGATGACAAATTGGAAGCTGTGGTCGGTAGCTCGTCGTTTTCAATGTGTTCTGAACTATATCATAATTTTATATTCATTGAAAAGCGGAAGGTTGTGTCTTTCCACTGCATCTATGAAATTTAAGTTAGGATGATAACCATTTGTTCCGTGAACAAAAAAGCTTAAGTAAATCCGAAAAACATTAGTTATGGTGACTTTCATGGTTACCCATAAATATTTTCAGTTTGCTGACCATAACTTAAGATTTTGGGAGTATATTTCAAATTCTGCTAATGCCAAAATTATTTTTTAGACTTGTTCTACCACCTCTAAAACCATTTCTTTTTTTGTAGCACCGTGTAATATATATATATTGTACACTAACAGGCAAGGGCGTAGCCATGATCTGATGTAAGGGGAGGACGGGAGAAACGAAATAAACTTGTTAATTTTTTTATATATTTTTTTATCATTTTTACGTTAATAACGATTTTCAGCAAACTTTTCTGCTTCTGAATCATCTCGCGGTTTTCGGTAACGAGTTTTCTATGGACACTCCGGAGGCATAGTCCAGAAAGACTTTGTGCTTCTGGGCCAGGTTTTTACTCTACGAAGTGTACTAAAACGATCGCTCCACAGTCGCTGTTGTGCATGGAAAAGCACTCAAAATGGAAATACCCTTATTTATCGCTGTTTTCTTCTTTAAATAAATCTACAACTTCAACATCCTTCAAATCTTCTTCAGGCAAGTTCTTTCTCTTCCATAAATTGTACCAAAGAAGGAGTTCACTTCCCATACCTAGATCATATATCTGTTGAAAATGCTTCTATTTATTTTGTACCTTTTCACTGGAACATTTAATCGAATGCAATGGGTGCAATGTAGACAGCGAAACAGCTGGAGTATTTTAATTGGAAAAGCGAAGTTGAAAAGAAGCCGTTAGTGAATCCAGATACGGTATTATTATAGACCGTCGCCAGTACTCATTTTTATTGAAAGATGGGGATTACTTCAGTTTTTTTTGTTAACCTGCCAAACGTGGTAGAGAAATTTCTACTCCTAGATCGGCTGTAATCATACGAGATTTTTTAATTAACTCCGTAGTGACTCCCTCTGCATTCTTTCGATCATTCTTAACCACCTCCAAAATATTTTCAGTATGCTGATCATCGGCGATGAGGTCTATTGTGTTCATTTGAGAAATGTTTGCTGTAAGATCCAGAAACATTGAATATTTAGCAATTGTCATTAAAGCAATGATGAACATCGGCCTTATTATAGCAGCACACAATTGATGCGCAGACTTTCTTGTGGAAAAGTTTGCCTGAATTGACAACTTTTCTAAAGCTTCCACAACTTCAGGATAATTTTCTAAAAATTTCCTGATAGCCTTATATTTTTCCGACCATCTTGTTTCACACAAAGGTCATATATCAGCAGCATAATTCTTGCGTATCATTGATTCGCGAAAAAAGTGTATCACATATTTTAGGGTAGAAATAGTACTTCTTATTTTTGGAACCTCATTTAAGTCATTCACAACAAGATTTAACGGAAGAGGAAGTGTTTCCTCGTTTGGTTTTTCTATCCTGTTTATCACAGAATGGTAAAAGAAACTTAAAAGGGTGTTTCTTTCAATTCTGTGCCAATTCAATGCTTAACGCTGTGCTTACTTCATTATAACAACGATGAAAAACGCAGGCCTTATGTAGAAATTGAGAGTACAATTACGAATTCGATTACGCATACAAATTAGTATTTTTTTTTTATTGATTTTTGAAATTTTCTCCTTCGCTTTGTAGCTGCCCCTACCTGCCTACGCCCTTGCTAACAGGCCTATTCTGGTTGTCACCGAGCATTTTTATACCGGGAAATTTTGTTACCAAAATATGACACCACTTCTTATAACAACAATTCTAAGTACCTTTGGTAACGTTTTAATCTATTCAGCAATTCAGCTATGAATTTTTCGTAAATCCAGTGTTGCATATTTCACGGGTCAATGTTTTGTTACCTGCTTATGAGATAGTAACAAAATTTACCAGTGCGCAGTTTCGGTTCGGTTTCGACATTGTGTACCTGAGGATTACTGCGTACTACATCACGCACATTTTGAAAGTGGATCATTTTCTCGGAAAATTGTTGGATGTAAATACGACACATCATAATGTTTTTATAATTGTTGGCATCATTGCTACAAATTTTTAACAGTTTTCTTACTTGCTTCTCTTTGAGTAACCGTAGCCTTTGTAGTAAAGGTAGTCCAGCTCCAATAGGACTCGGTGTTTTATCGTGAGATGCTCTTTCTTTCATTTCCTCCTTGTCTTCCGACCGCACATGTGACATTCTCCTCAAAGTTGTTTTGTTCCCTTTGTTCGAAATTTCATGTAGCGGTTGCATTTCTAAAGATTCGTCACTTCTTCTGTTAGTCCTAGAAAAATCAATCAGTTGTACAAATATACGCACATATACATACATATGTATAAATCTACTAAATATATTGCTTATGTCTAAAGTTATAGGATATACGAGCCCCTCTATTGCATATTAACTAATAGATTGTGCTTTGTAGATACGCTGTATTCCATTACTCGAAAATTATAGTGAATAGGAAAAGAATTAATTTTTTCTTGGTAATGCAGCACTTAACATTTTCTAAATTAATACATATATTCTGCTCCCCAGAGGTGTATGGATGACTGTTTTGAAGTCAAATGTATGAAGAAAAAAATTTCAAAAATTAAGGTATGCGAATTCAAGTTGATATCAGTGTGCGACCATAATGTAATAAACAAAGTTAAATCAATAGTTGCGTTTTCTTACTCATTTCCAGTAAAAGTTTTTACGAGTTTTCATGTTTTGGCGTTTTCGTACGCAAAAACTTGCAAAGTAGGGGAAATTGAGAGAGCGAAAAATGACAGTTGAAGTTGCAAGTTTTTACTGGATTTTACTGGATAAATTTTTACTTGTAAGAATTTTCCAGTACGAAAAACAGCTGATCGCATGTTGCTGGATGAAATTTAAACTAATAAGGAAACTGTTTGTGGGTTTTTAATGTTGAATTTTACAAAATAAACCTATTTAAATACAAAATATATTGTTTTATTAGGAATTTGCTGCGAATAAACAACCAATTTATCAGCTGTTCATGAAACTTGCAAATTATTACTGGAAAAGCGTTCGCGTACTTTATTGCAAATTTTTTCCATGAGAGCGAATTCTTAGAAATACAGTTACTGGAGAGTTGCTGGCAAGTTACTGGATAATTTGAAACAAAACACAACTAATATATGACGTACGCTTATTTGAAAATGTAAATGTGAAGAATTCATATATTTGATTACATTAACCGTCTTTTGGCTTTTGTTCATATATGACACGATGAGCTACATAATCGCAAAGTGTACAAAACACATACGCTATGGGTGTATGTATTTATACGAATGCATTATGGTTTAGTGAATTAAAATACGACTTCTTCACTTGCTAGGCCACTTCGTCCTTAAAGATAACAATTCCATAGCCCTTAAAGTACAGAATTATGCTGGTGTTGGCAGGAGAAGACCAAATGAAGTTTGACTTGACTTCACTTAGTATTTCTATTTTGCGCTAGTTAATATATATATTTTTTTTAATTCATATATTTTATTGCAATCTGCATTGTGCATTAAGAAATATTTAAAACTTATTACTAGATAAAAATAATCATGTATTGAGTACACCCAGTGGTGCAACCATATTTTTTTTCGCAGGTGTTCAATATTAGTAGAGATCTAATATTGACTTCCTTTTAAGTCGCTGTAATGATACTGTATGAGAAATTAGTGTAGAAATAAGAGGATTTGGGTGATCATGAATTTTTGTTGGTGCGCCAAGGCGTAGTTTTTATTTCAGAAGAACCAATAGGAATGACGGTCACGGTGTATTTGGTTGCTTGTGACATAAAACGGAGCGTTCGCAATCATTTTAAGATTTTTTAATAGGAAACTTGGATGGGTCTGCAGAGCCCCATAACTGTATTTCATATGTCCATACCGGCTTTAAAACAAATGAATAAAATAAGAGCTTATCCTAGAGTGAGACTTGAGATTTTGGGTTCAGTAACCAGTGATAGGAATAACAAAATGCCTGGCGCGACCTTAGGTGGTTACTGAGCCAATCAGGAAACAGAATGGTTGAATATATACGAAAATATTACGAAATAACGCACGAAGGTTGAGTTGATGGAACTGCATCAGTATTGAGTCGTCTTCGCTTGGCATATAATTTATTTCATTCGATTGAAGTGCAGGACGTAAACCCTGCATAGATAATGAAGTCAGTTGAATACCACACGCATTCATCGATTTCCTTCTCTCTGTAACATCCTCCGCACAATAAACGTAACTTTTTTCTTTTTACCGCGCTTTTATTTGTGGGTAGTGTCTGGCATTTTTTATGAAATTTTTTCTTTTTGCTCTGCATTTTCTAAAACGAATTATTTTTGGAATTGTAATACAAAAATTTTAAATTTGAAATACATTTATAATGTTGCTACTGGCAAATGGGTTAATGAAATGACAAAAGTGTTGTCAAATAAGCGTATCGAAAATAGATATGTCATATATTGATTTCACTTTGTTTATTATACTATGTGTGCGACAATTTTATGACACTTCGAACCAGCCCGGATTTTGCTAATATTTTCTGAAAGTATACATATCTATCTATACTATACAGGGTGTCCCAGAAGTAACGTGCCAAACTTTAGGGGAAGGTAGGTGTGGGGGTGGGGGGTGGGGTGAGCTCCCTGATAAACAAAAAATTTTCAGGTAAAAGTGTCACCGTTTTTGAAATATTTACATTTTTTCGAATTTAAAAAAAATCGTGCCTTTTCATGTGTTTTCTTTAACTGCAACTACAAACCGGGCAATACTTAGTAAATTTTTTATGTAAAATACTTCCAGATAGTTGCCTCTCCATACTCAAATACAATGTAGTTAAAATATATAAAGGAACCATCATAAAATTAGGACTATTTCTGGATTTTTAACTTTTTGATATTTTCTTCCCCAACTTTGACTATCTTGGGTGAAAAAAAAATGTACTGAGCTATAACTTTACATTACATAAAAAAATTGCTCATTTCATAAAGATTTCAGAAAGGTGCCACACTTACTGTTTCGAATAGAAAAAAAAGTTATAGCCGCTTTTGTGGGTAAAGGACTAAGACACGCTAGAATGTATTTAACAGATTTAAATTGAATTTGCTCCTGTTACCGTCAAATGACATGCTAAATAGTACAAATGTACATTATTACCTGCTCCTGACATTATTTTGTGTTACTTACCGGAATTAGTGAAAGTGGATTTTGTGAAATTGGACCCTTCGAACATTGTGTTATTAATACTATGACAGAGAACACGCAGTATACGTCGCATGAATATGCGGATATTCACCTAATTTACGGTGAAGCTTGCTGTAATGCCAGAGCTGCTCAAAGACTCTATGCAGAGCGACACCCCAATCGTCGACATCCGGGTCGTGAAGTATTCCCCCGCACCCATAGAGTAATATCTGAAAGTCAGTAATTTTTACACCTTTCTTGTTTGAAGCCATTCTTCTTTTACTATCATTTTTCACTTTTTTAAGGTCGCATACCTGGAAGGCGTGGCGGCGAAACAGGACGTCCTGCAACGGTAGATGTTGAAGCTGTGTTAGAGGAAGTGGAACTAGGTCCATCGACTTCAGTGAGAATTATGGAAAGACGGACGGGAATACCAAAAACTACAGTTCACACAGCTTTACAAGACCATCGATTTCATCCATACCACATTCAACGTGTTCAGGCTCTACAAGAAAGAGATTACCTGTCGAGAGTTAGATTTTGCCGTGAAATGTTGCGAATGCATGAATCAGACCCCAACTTTTTTAATAAAATAATTTGGAGCGATGAATCATCATGCAAACGTGATGGTTATTTTAATTTACATAACCTTCACAGTTGGCAGATAGACAATCCTCACGAAATGAGAGAAGATCGTTCGCAGTACCGGTACAAAATAAATTTATGGTGCGGTATTTTTAATTGTCAGATATTGGGACCTGTGGAACTGCCGCCAACGCTCAACTCTCACAGTTATTTAGAGTTCCTTCAGGAACGGCTTCCAACTCTTTTGAAAGATGTACCCTTAAACCTGCGGCGAAGACTATGGCTGCAAAATTACGGGTGCCCTGCTCACTACGGGTGTGAAGTAAGAGCTCATTTAGACGAAACTTATCCTCGCCGATGGATTGGACGATACGGGCCAATCACGTGGCCCGCTCGATCGCCAGACCTGAATCCATTAGATTTTTTCTACTGGGGCTGTCTTAAGGACAAAATTTATTCAAAAACAATTCAAAACGAAGAGCATTTGCGGGAACAAATAAATGAAGCTGCTGCTGAGATAGCCCAATTGAGTTTAAGATCTCTAAAAGCGTCTTTCCTTAAAAGGTGCCGAGCTTGTATTAGAGTAGAAGGTCCCCAATTTGAGCATATTTTATCAATAAATGAATAAATTTTTCTTCAAACAACTCATGTATATCTTATTTCACGTGAACCCATCCTTCACACAAAATATTGATAGATATAGCCCTTGTTATAGACTCTAGTCCGAATTCCGGTAAGTAACATAAAATAATGTCAGAAGCAAGTAATTATGTACCTTTGTACTATTTAGCATGTCATTTGACGGTAACAAGAGCAAATTCAATTTAAATCTATTAAATACATTCTAGCGTGTCTCAGTCCTTTACCCACAAAAGCGGCTATAACTTTTTTTTCTATTCAAAACAGTAAGTGTGGCACCTTTCTGAAATCTTTATTAAATGAGAAATTTTTTTATGTAACGTAAAGTTATAGCTCAGTACATTTTTTTTCACCCGAGATAGTCAAAGTTGGGGAAGAAAATATCAAAAAGTTAAAAATCCAGAAATAGTCCTAATTGTATGATGGTTCCTTAATATATTTTAACAACATTGCATTTGAGTATGGAGAGGCAACTATCTGGAAGTATTTTACATAAAAAATTTACTAAGTATTGCCCGGTTTGTAGTTGCAGTTAAAGAAAACACATGAAAAGGCACGATTTTTTTTAAATTCGAAAAAATGTAAATATTTCAAAAACGGTGACACTTTTACCTGAAAATTTTTTGTTTATCAGTGAGCTCACCCCCCCACCTACCTTCCCCTAAAGTTTGGGACGTTACTTCTGGGACACCCTGTATATAAAATAAAGCACAAAAAACGTGAGAGCAAAACAGCCGATGTACTGGGTCGATTTCTATGATTCAGGTTTTAAAATGACATATTTCTACCACAGTAGGACACAGTGGTATTTTTAAAATGAAATTTTTATAACAAGTATGTTTAATTAAAGTATTAAGTTAATCAACAATACCACGCATTG